TCTGAGTGAAATTTTATTTTCGTGCTTTGACATTGATTATTTCATGATTTAAAAGTACACTGTCTCTATACAACTGGATACAAAAATCCTGCAATATTCGAAAGAACAATTATAAAACAGAACAGCATTAGAACTTTGTTTAACACTCTAGCATCTGAGATCAACGAATGGCTCTCACTTGTAATGAACTGTGGGTCGAGAACCGCAGATTTTCTCTCCTTTGCAAGACTCGTCGCAGCTTTCAGTCATAAATCAAGTTCCACACTATAAGAAAGGCAATTAATCTTGATCAGTTGCAAATTGTAATACTGAAAATTAACCTCAAGTCTACAAAACAGCTGATATGCACAGTTTATTATTCATTCACATGCACTCTCTCTTCCTTTATCATTTTGAACAAAGCATGACTTTAGCCTCACCCGAAAGTGTCCTCGAGAGTGACCTCAAGGGTGGGAGCATTCTCAGGAGAGGTCACCCTGATCTTGAGCCTATAATCTCCTCCGGGTCTGTCTACCGCAAGGTCCGAAAAAACGGCTTGGCCCTGAGAGTAAGGGACGGTGGTGGAGCCCTGCAGCCGTGCCCCTGGAGGCCCTCCTTCCAGGCTCGCCGTCAACATCCAGGGGTAGCCTTTGCTGCCAAGGCTGGTGACTCTAGTGCCCTGTGGGGGAAAGAGCACGGTTGACCAGTGTCATAATATAAATAAGCGACAGATGTAAACTGAAACTGAACTTTGTAATAATAAAATCATGGTAAATGCATTTGGGAAATAAATGAGCGAACTGAGTAATTCATAGACTGATAGACAAATATTTGTCCATGAATCCAAGACCGCCCAAAACAGAGTCAGGAAACTCACATTCTCCGTGAACGCGGCTACGACCACCCGAAAGACTTCGTTGGCCATCACCACCTCAGGAGGCTCCTGCATGACCTCCACGTACGACGGCCGAAGGAACACCTCCCCTTGGAGAAGCTGGTCTAGCTCCTCCTTCTCCAATTGCTGCTGCCGATCGCTGTACAGAGGGGCGCCGGGTGCGAGCAGGGCGCCGAACTGCTCGTTTGGAGACTGCAATTCCGGGACGTCAGGAGGGACGACGGGGTACTTGACCTTCGTGAAAACAATAAGATCGAGAAAAAAGGTGAATGGACTTCAAATGAAGTTGTTGATAAAAAAAAAAAAAAAAATGATGTACGATCGCCAAAATAAATCACTTTAAGTAGTTATAGATCTACGAAGAGTGACGAAACTCATACTTAACTAAAGAAATCTGTACTTAATAATGAGGAAACAAAATGCTTCCAAATAAACTTCGAGAAACGAAACAAATTAATCAGAAAAGGGAATACTAGATTTACGAACTGACAAAACAACTAAACATAAAAGATGGAGCAAATTATATTTCAAAAGCACATTGTTTAGAAACTACCGCAATAGACACACAAGACATGTATACACACATACGTACTCAAACAAAACCACTTACTTTTAGACTGACGATGTTCGCGCCACAACCAAGGCTTTGGAAACAGTCGACTGCAATCCCGAGTCGATTCAACAGGTCGTCATAAGTAAGGGCGTCTCCCCCGATCGGATGACCCGCCTCTTGAAGGGAGCTCAGGGGGGCGCCGCTCACCTCCACCTGGAGAGAGTTAGTTATTCTTACGGTATCTTTTATTGTTCATTGGTGTGTGTGTGTGTGTGTGTGTGTGTGTGTGTGTGTGTGTGTGTGTGTGTGTGTGTGTGTGTGTGTGTGTGTGTGTGTGTGTGTGTGTGTGTGTGATTTTCATTGTTATTGATTGATGACGATGATAGTGATGGTGATAATTAACCTAATCAAACCATAAGGATCATGATGTTTTTGTAAAGAAAAATGAACAGCCTTAGCGCAATAAAGATTATGAAATGCAATTCAGTTCAATACAACAAGGAAAATACACCACAGTGCATCTCAAAACAGAACACAGGATAGTAACCAAGACAAAAAAAATATATAACAAAAAACAAAACAAAAACAAAACGAAGACAAAATAAAAACCCTCACCTCAACATTGACAACAGAAGAAGCCTTCCTCTTCCTCCTCCTCTTCCCTTCCTTCCCCTCCCTCCCCTCCCTCCCCTCCCTCCCCTCCCTCCCCTCCCTCCTCGAATCCTCACGAACGATATCCGTCACCCTCACGTTCTCCGGAGCGACGTTCAGCAACAGCGCCACGTTCCTTACGACCTCATCCGCTCCGTAGAAGTCGTCCTCGTTCACCAGGATCCCCAACGACAGGACGACCACCGGCGAAGTCCTGAGGTCGTAGGTGTGGTTGCCGCCGCGGACGACCACGTGTAGGAACTTCGATTCCAGCGCGAGGTAGTTCGCTCCTGCGGTCTGGGAAGTTGGAAGGGAAGGGGGTTTAGTAAGTGATAATAATGGCGAAAGGGAAAGGAAAAGAGAGGAAGAAAAAATAAAGCAAAGGAAAAAAGAGAAAAGGAAAGAAAAATGAGGGAGAGATAGGAAAGCAATGGAAAAGAGAAAAGGAAAAGAAAAGAGAGGAAGAGAAAAGAAAGCAAAGGAAAAGAGAAAAGGAAAGAAAAGAGAGGAAGAGAAAGGAAAACAAAGGAAAAGAGAAAAGGAAAGAAAGGAGAAGTAAAAAGTAAAGAAAAGAAAAGACAGGAATAGGAAAGTAAAGAAAAGAAGGAAATAGAAAAGACAAGAAAAAAAGTAATGGAAAAGAAAGGAACAAAATTAGAAAAAATTAAAAGACAGGAACCAATTAAGAAAAAAAAGAAAAGAAAGGTACAGAAAAGAAAAAAGAAAGGAAAAGAAAAGAAAAGAAATGAACAGAAATGGAAAAAAGGAATAGAAAAATAGAAAAAATAGAAAAGATAAGAAAAGAAAAGAAAAAACAATGAAAAAAGGATAAGAAGGGAAAAATAAAAAGGAAAAAAAGTAAGAAAAGAAAAGATACGGGAAAAAAGAAACTTCAAAAAGGTAAAGAAAAGAAAAGAAGTTAAAAAAAAATCAAAAGAAAACACAAAACTAGAAAACAAAACAAAACAAAGCCAAAACAATACAAACCCAAAAAAGAAAAAGAACAACAGAATACATAGAAAGACCCATAAACCAAGCAACCCCCCTCCTACCCATCCCCCCCACACACACCCCAAGCCCCCCCCCCCCCACACTCACGTCCTGCAGCGTCGGGTAGAAGGACTCCGGGTCGTCGGGATCCTCGGGCAACAGCTGATAGGATTCCGGATACGTGTCCGGGTCGGCGTTCGTAGGAGGGACGAAGGCGCCGTCAACGTAGACGTCAAACCGCTGCGTCACCGGGTAAAAGAGACGCAGGAGGACGACTTCGCTGGGATCCGAGTGCAGGAGGTGGAGTCGGAGTTCCTGCGGGAGTGGGAGGAGTTAGGAAGGAGTGCGGGGAGGGGGGGGGAGAATATGCTTTGATTTGAATGGTGGGACGGTATCCTAAGGATATTATCCTGATCGGAAGATAAATTGTTAGAAGGAAGTGAAAACATATATTAAAAGTAAAAAAAAATATATATATATATATATGTGTGTGTGTGTGTGTGTGTGTGTGTGTGTGTGTGTGTGTGTAGTGTATATAGTGTATATATATATATATATATATATATATATATATATATATATATATATATATATACATATATATATATATATATATATATATATATATATATATATATATATATATATATATATATATATATATATATATATGTATGTATGTATGTATGTATGTTGATATATATATATATATATTTGTGTGTGTGTATGTATGTGTGTATGCATATATCCATAGAAGATTTTTAAAAATACTATAAAAACACACAAGAAGACATCCCCAAAACAGAACAAAATACAAAATGAACTAATGAACCTTACCTGCGGCGGAAGTGACGTCATGGCCACCTCGTACACCTGGCCGGGAGCGACGACGGAGTAGAAGGTGGAGATACGGCGCTGGCAGGTGTAGCCCAGGCACCATCCGTGGTCCATCGGCCCGTTCAAGAGGTCCACGTATCCATCCGGGCCTACGAGGAGAGAGACAGCGTGGGGACTTTAATGAGTAATGTTTCTCAAGATAGATGTGGAGAGATGAAGATATAGATATACACAGATTAGATATAAACTGACTGGAGCACTGGATATGACAGATATAAACAGGCACAGGGAAACAGGTAAAAACAGACAGATCCGTCAACAGAGATATAAACAAAACAGAGAGAGAGAAAGATCTATTTCTCTCTCTCTCTCTCTCTCTCTCTCTCTCTCTCTCTCTCTCTCTCTCTCTCTCTCTCTCTCTCTCTCTCTCTCTCTCTCTCTCTCTCTCTCTCTCTCTTAATAAGTGAGGTGTCATAGAGATATAAACAACCAGAGACAAGTCAACAGAAAGATATAAACAGAGCTATTCCAGCAGCCAGAGACCCATTACCAACCCGGATTGGCGATGAGCGCGACGGGCGAGAGGCGTCGCACCAGCGTGTCGGCGTCGAGGCTCTCAAGAACCAGCATCCGGTGACGTAAGCCCGAGCAGCGCCACGCCCTCCATGACGTCACGAAGCTGCATGAGTTGTCCCTCACAATGCCTAATGAAATGGAAAAAAATGTATATATATAAGAGTTAATATATAAGAAATGGAAGAAATAGAAATAAGTTTTGTTAGGACATTTTTCTTCTAATGTTTTTTTTTTTTTTTGTCACGTTCATTTTTTTGTGTGTATGTTTTTTTTTTCTGGAATGTATTTTTCCTTATTTCTTTTTTTAGAATTCCTGTTATCTCTACCCAGCAGCTTTCTGGATGTGATGACTACGGAAATACCTGTAAAATTCCACTATTGATATTAATTTCACAAACACAACAATCAACAAGGAACAGAACCATCTAAACACCCCCTCCCTCCCAATAGGAACTTCTTTCTCTCTCTCTCTCTCTCTCTCTCTCTCTCTCTCTCTCTCTCTCTCTCTCTCTCTCTCTCTCCTCTCTCTCCCTCTCTCTCTCTCTCTCTTTCTCTCTCTCTCTCTCTCTCTCTCTCTCTCTCTCTCTCTCTCTCTCTCTCTCTCTCTCTCTCTCTCTTTCTCTCTCTCTCTCTCTCTCTCTCTCTCTCTCTCTCTCTCTCTCTCTCTCTCTCTCTCTCTCTCTCTTGCATTTGAAAGACGCACATCCATTCTGCTTTCAAAAAAATAGCAAACCTTTATTGGGGAATTTCTCCTCCGCTGGGATCTCGGTGCCGTTGACACGCTGCCGGAGACTAACGGGGATCCTGTAGTCGCCGACGCCTCTCACGGGGTCGCCGTCCCACTCGAACTCCGCCTGCGAGATGGCCGTGGCGTTGGGCGTGCCTGGGGGAGACATTAGGGGGAGGGAGGAAGGGGAGGAGGGGGGAGGGAGGAAGGGGAGGAGGGGGAAGGGATGGGAAAGGGAAGGGTTGAGGAGGGGAAAGGGAGGCAGGGGGATGGGGGATGGGGTGGGAGGGGGGAGAAGAAAGGAGGGAGGAAGGGGGATGGGGGAAAAGGGAAAAGGGAAGAGGGAGGAGGAGCAGCAGGAGGAGGAGGAGGTGGTAGTGGTGGAAGAAGAAGAGGAGGTTGTGATGGTGGAGGAAGAGGAGGAGGAGGAGGGGAGGAAAGAGGTGAAGAGGGGAGGAGGATTGAGGGGAGAGCAAAGGAATAAGAGGGAAAAAATAGAAGGAAAGAAGGGAGAGAGAAGGAGAATTGATTAAGGGACAGAGGGAAGGGAACGAGGAAATGAAGAGATAGATGGGGAGGAAGGGAAAAGTAAGACTGTATTATAAAATGCTTTTCTTCCTAATATATCCAAATGTATGTCCATTTGCTATCATTGCATTTTGAACATATTTATATATTCTCCCCCTTGCTAACAGTTTCTTCCTAAACATTTAAGATAAAATCGAGCCCAAAATTATTCTTAAGTTGTGGAAAATTACACACAAATTATGATATTAATAATAATAATAATAATAATAATAATAATAATAATAATAATAATAATAATAATAATAATAATAATAATAATAATAATAGTAATAATAACAACAAAGATAATAATAACAATAATACTAACAATGATAATATTAACAACAACAACAATAACGTCAATAATAACAGCAACTAACAAAAAATAATCATCCTTATAAACACACAGACAAACAACAAAATACTACCATAAACACGGCTAGACCTGCTCACAAATCCCAATACGCACTAAACACACATTAAGCTCCTAAAAGCACAGTCTTACCCAGCCAAGTGCCATCCCTACCCTGCATTAGGACTTTCTTCAGGCCAACTAGACACGCATTAAGGTCCTAAAAGCACTGTCTTACCCAGCAAAGTGCCGTCTATATCCTGCACCAGGACTTTCTTCAGGCCGTCGCAGTCCATGTCCCCGCAGTCTGCAGGCCTAACGAGGTTTAGATTTGGCCTGCGAGAGAGGGAAAGGGTTAAGTGATGGCGTTTCTGTTGTGGAATAATTGTCCGATAAATAAATAAATAAATGAATGAGGGATATGATAAGAGTTTTTTGTTTTGTTTTGTTTTGTTTTTTATTGAAGTGTCCGTATGTAAGATATAAAAAAATGTCCGTTTAAAAGTACCCGCTTGAAGGAAAAAAGTGTCCGTTTAAAAGTGCCCGCTTGACGGAAAAAAAGTTTTGAAAAAAGAAGGTATTTTGTCGACAGCATTTCATTTATTCATTTATTTATTAAACTTGTTTTGATTGTTGTATAGCTGCAGTGGAAAATATAACACTTTCATGATATTTGCATTTATGAGTAAATATGCATTAGTAAACAGATTTAAAATATGAACAGAAATTAATCATAATATCAAACTAGCGAAATAATGCCAGCGTTCCCCTGTTTATATATATACATGTGTGTGTGTGTGTGTGTGTGTGTGTGTGTGTGTGTGTGCGTGTGTGTGTGTGTGTGTGTGTGTGTGTGTGTGTGTGTGTGTGTGAGTGTGTGTGTGTGTGAGTGTGTGTGTGTGTGTGTGTGTGTGTGTGTGTGTGTGTGTGTGTGTGTGTGTGTGTGTGTGTGTGTGTGTGTGTGTGTGTGTGTGTGTGTGTATGTGTGTGTGTGTGTGTGTGTGAATGTGCGTGTGCGTGTGCGTGTGCGTGTGCGTAGGCGTGTGCGAGGGCATGTGCGTGTGCGTGTGTCATACGTGTGCGTGTGCTTGTATATGCATCTGCATCCGCATCTGCATCGCATCCACACCTACAGCTACATCTACTGTACATCCACATCCCTTTACCCATACCACCAAAATGTACACCCGCATCGTCCACAGCGACTTACTCGTGCAAATACAAGTAATTCTCGGGCGGCGTGTCCACGAAGGCAAGGCCGCGCACGAAGACGGGGTGGATGGCGTCGTTGGAGCCGTGGTTGGTGAGCAGCGCCACGTCCCTCCCGCAGCTCCTGGAGGCGTAGGCGACGAAGGTGACGTTGGTGATGTGCG